GAGGTCGGGTTACACCGAAGGACGGCTTTGTCACTCCCTCCTTGACAAAGCAGTCAGAGATGTGCGTATAGTGCTTATCATTGCTAATCAAGCCAGTAAAGTAAGATGTTCTTGCAGCGTTTAGTCAGTTGAACAAGGTTAATAAGGTCTTTTTCCACATCTGTTCAGCTTTCCTACAGAATATAATCCTGCATCCAAGAGGAAGGATTGACGGTTTGAAATAAGCTGTATTTTAAGGGGCTACACAATGGAGAGCTAATCGACATGTATTATTAAAACAATTGAGGTTATCACAGATTTTTGAAAACGTGGATGTTTAAATAAGCGCAGAGAGATTAGAATATAAGTGCAGAATTCAGATATAGCTTCTGAACTTTAGAATGAATTATGTAGTAGTCATTTTGTGGAAGTTGAGTATGTCTTACTCGGCTTGTTTACACTCTGCCTGAGCACTCACACCACTTTATACAACACGCCTCATTAATGGCACAAGCTCCTGAGGATGTTTTACCAGTCAGTGGTTGCTGGAGTACTTTTCTATGCTGTGGTGTGCTGGGGGAGCAGCACAGCAAAGAAGGATCATCCAGGCTGGAGAAACTGATCAGGAGGGCTAGCTCTGTGGTCGGCATGAAGCTGGACACTCTGGTGACAGTGGCAGAGAAAAGGACATTAAAGAAACTGATGGACATTATGAACAATGCTGGGCATCCTCTGCACACGGTCATAAACAACCAGAAGAGTCTGTTCAGTGACAGGTTGCTTCTCCCAAAGACAAGAACTAACAGACTTAAAAACTCCTTTGTCCCACACACCATCAAACTGTTTAACTCCTCTCTGGAGGGGAGAGGGAGGGGAGACAGGAGGACAAAGGAGGGGGAACAACTAAGCTGTAGTGCCTCTTCACCTCACTGTGCAATACCTTTGTGCAATACTTTTGTAAATAGTCAACAGTGCAATAGACTCAATACTTGAAATGTGCAATTCACTTGTATTTTATTTTTATTCCTATTTATTCTATTTATCCCCTTCGTATATTTTATTTATATTGTCTCTGTATTTATATATGTGTGTGTGTGTGTGTATATATATAATATTCTGTAACTCTGTAACTTCTGTCGGTGCTGTGCTTTTTTGGAAACTGAATTTCCCAGAGGACCCACCTGAGGGATTAATAAAGTTCTATCTTATCTCTTAAGCTTTAAGTGCTTTCTATCCCACACTCACACTGCAGTGGGCTGTGGAGAACAACCTGGGGTCAGCATCGTGCCCGAGGATATTTGGCATGCAGACTGATAGATGTGCTCCCTTCTGAACCACGGCCACACTATGAGATCACATCCTTCTAATTACAAGGATTATGTTTCTTCCCTCAGGAGTTGGGATGATGGGCAGTGAGTACGACTGAACATAGAGATGGGAGGAGCTGAGGAAAGCATGAAAAGCTCTGAGACAGAATGATTGGCTGTTTATTATTTGACTCAATGGCATGTAAATCAATTCATAATCCTGCTAATGTGTTTTTCTTTCAGAATCTCTGGTTGCTATGCTCTCTCACAATTAAAATGAATCTACAGTTCATTTCTTTTCAAACGTTCAAACTCAGAGTCTTTTTATCTTTCATGTTGTTTTTACATTGTTCTAGTGCAACACTCAGGCTGTAGTTTCCAGTTCCTGTGTATTATCTGCACACATGGTTTCTGACAACAAAGCTGACTTTGACTTGGAACATGTCGTGTCAGCAAAAGCTCTGGATAATGTTTCAGTGAGTCCTGTTCTCCAGACAAGAGATGCTATTTGGCAATAATAGCAATAATTTTCCACATGGAAAATCTTTCTATACAACTTTGTTTGCAGTGTGAGCTTCACTTCTATGTGTAGAACACAAACACTCATGTTCTCTTGTCCTCTTATACTCTGTTCAGGTCTGTTGAAAATAATGTCCCAGTGGAAAAGCTTGTTAGTTTAGGCCTTTATAGATTCTGATGATCTCTGAGCAGCAACAGAAGGAAATAAACCTCCAACAGAACGAACTCTGGGAAATTCAGTCATCTTTTCACAGGTGGGGATGAGGTGAGAGAAACAAAGAGCTTTTAGAAATAACAGTCAACAAACACATTATTGGGATGAAGTCCTTTCACCCTCTGTGCGACACACAGACAACCTCCCACAGACACACACAGACAACCTCCCACAGACACACACAGACAACCTCCCACAGGCACACACAGACAACCTCCCACAGGCACACACAGACAACCTCCCACAGACACAGACACACACAGACAACCTCCCACAGACAAACACAGACAACCTCCCACAGGCACACACAGACAACCTCCCACAGACACACACAGACAACCTCCCACAGGCACAGACACACACAGACAACCTCCCACAGACACACACAGACAACCTCCCACAGGCACAGACACACACAGACAACCTCCCACAGACACAGACACACACAGACAACCTCCCACAGACACACACAGACAACCTCCCACAGACACAGACACACACAGACAACCTCCCACAGGCACACACAGACAACCTCCCACAGGCACACACAGACAACCTCCCACAGGCACAGCACACACAGACAACCTCCCACAGACACAGACACACACAGACAACCTCCCACAGGCACAGACACACACAGAGAACCTCCCACAGACACACACAGACAACCTCCCACAGACACACACAGACAACCTCCCACAGGCACAGACACACACAGACAACCTCCCACAGGCACAGACACACACAGACAACCTCCCACAGGCACAGACACAGACAGACAACCTCCCACAGACACAGACACACACAGACAACCTCCCACAGGCACAGACACACACAGACAACCTCCCACAGGCACAGACACACACAGACAACCTCCCACAGACACACACAGATGAAACGAACATATATTGATGAACTCAGGATGACCTACTAGCCTTGTGTACATGTGAGAGCTTCAGGTATATAGAATTACTGAAGGCTGTTGTTGAGTGTTAGTAAAAGGCGTACATGTGACAGGCGTGTACTCTCTGACGTGAAATGTTTCTGAGGCCAAGGAAAGGCCAAGCTGGGCAGCCAAGACCAAGAAATGGACCAAACACACCAGAATTGTTATATGTAGCAACGAGCAGCACTTTGCATGTTGAAGGACACGTGTATCAGCAGGGGTGGCTTACCCAAGAATACGAGCCACTCTTCTGTTCCTCGTGTGGTTCTGGGGCACACCGCTCCTCCTGGCTGCCTGACCCACGTCTTCGCCTTTCACCTTGAATCATGTTCGCTGAAGCCAGAACTTTTCTATGTCTCACAAAAAAACAAATCATCTGTTCACCAGCCTTTATGTTTATCAGTAGGCTGGCTTTATTGTGCTCATTAATGCTGCAATAAGGACATAGTTAAAGCCTTGTATTCTTACTTGTATTGTTCCAACAGTTGTGCTGGGTCAGGGGTGTCAAACTCAATCGCACAGGGGGCCAAAGGTCAAGGCACGCTTTAGGTCTCGGGCCACACAAGATAAACATTTATTGAACACTAAAACAATGTGTTTAAACATATATATGAATAAAAACAGACAGGAATATTATTAAATAAACTTAAAAAAATAAACTTTAAATATTTTGCTCTCCATAAAAATATATCCTGTCAAAATTACACAAGTTAGAAATATGAACATGCTGCCAGAAACCCAGAAAAATAAATGAGAGCAAACACAAGGTTGGAGCCGCATGTAGACGAGCTGGGCGCTGCTGCAGGGATGGAGCTAATAAACTGTGTGGGCCAGTCAGTGTCTTTCCCTGAGTGCATCATTACACTGCAGCTGCATCTGCACAGCTGCAGCTCAGCAAAGTGCGCTGACTGGGTTCAACATTACTGCAACAGGGAAAGTGAGGCAGGCTGCACTGGTGCATTAGTGACAGCTTCACTGCGTCACACCATGATGGGATAGATGGTCGCATAGGGTCAGAAAAGTTGGATTTGATGTGCTTTCGCCTGCAGTGTGAACGCAGCCTAAGACTACTAAATGAAAACACGTGGCTCAGTAGCACAAAAGACCACTAAAGCTAGGAAACAGTTATTTCAAAAGCATGTGCTTTACTAACTATAAGAAGCTAACATTTTAATAGCTCACCTGAGAGCCTGCATCATGCACACTGGCTGTGTCTTCAACACTGTAGCCCACACCGTTTACTGCATGTCACTGACTGGTAATCTGAAAGTGTGTGTGTTGTCCAACTGAACCATATCCTTTTGGGTTTTTATTTGGCAATATTGAGTTTGAAAATCATCAAGATGACATTTGCCATAATCTGGAGGTACTTAATGAACCGCAGACGCACAAAGATGCTTCTGTCGCCGTTTCACAGAGGTTTTTGGTTTCCAAGCAGTTTTCAGCCGAGTCCTCTGGGCTGCTGTTAAAGCTCCATGCTTGAGTTAGGACTTGGGTTTTGTGTTCTTCTACAAAAAGGTTTGAGAGACCATTTTATTTCCTTTTCTTTTCTTTCTTTGCACACTTGAAATGTATATAGTTGGTGTACTAATAGATCATCTAATGACTTTTATTTTACATGGAAGTCATTCTAAACTGTCCTTTTCTGTCTCATTTTCCAATTGGCTGTTCACCAAAAAGTTCTTTTCAGGTTGCTCCCCAATTTCAGGGGTGTCCCCAGTCATTACTGGGAAGAACAAAGGAACACACTGTTGGCATGTTTTATTTCATCTAGTGTGGATAATGATGAGTAAAAGACAGCTACCTTCACCATGCAAAACAACAGTGTGACACAAAGATGAGGTTATGTATCTCTGTGTTGACCATCAGTCAATATGACAAATTAAACAGCAGTGACATTTTATCTGGGTGGAGGTAAAAACATTGTTATAAAGCGAAATGCCAGCAAGCATGGAGCTAAAATAAATAACAGTGTATTTTAGTCTGTTTGTTCTTGGTTTTGAGTGAAGGTACAGAAACAGTATATAAGTGCTGGTGTTCGGTTCAGCACCTGCACACTTGAAGGCTGAAGTTACAAGCTGACACTGATAACAGGGAAGATAAGGTATTATATCAAATGCTTGCTGGAAAGTGTCAGATTATTGTCTATCTTTTCTTTTATAAACGACCTACTTTGAATTTTCTGATTTGTACAGAGATGCTAAACATCACCATGAAGCTGCTGACTGTGTCTACACTTCTCTGCGCAATGGTGGCTCTGGGCACTGCTGCTGGTGAGTATTCCAGTATACTGAGCATCATCTATACATCTTATGCATGAATATATTAAACTGAAAATTATAATGAAAATCAACATTTGCTGTTGTCTAGCACTTCCAGATGAAGTGGCCAGTAATGGGACAGAGGCATTAATTTCAGCAGGTCAGTGGACTTTTCAGGTTTGAAACCAAAACTAATCACATTTTTATCATCAGTACATCAGCTTTCCTACGTCAGCTTTCATAAATTTGTTTTCATGTGTGATGGACAAGTACATTTATAGCTTAAAAAAGTTCATCTTTAACACTCAGATAAAAACACATTTTTCATGAATTTTTATTTTAAAAACGTTTTCCGACACAGTAAAGTAGCTCAATATTCTTTGATTGTCTTCAGCAGAACATCATGTTGAGAAGAGAGCAGCATCTTGTCCAAGCGGCTGGACTCAGTATGGGAATCGATGCTTTCTCTACGATAACCGTCAAATGACTTGGGCTCAGGCGCAGGTAAAAGCAGTGATGTGAATTTATCATTTATCCTTTGTGCAATCTTAACTCTTTCTGTTTACGTTGTCATTTCTATGAACTCAGTCTGTTGATTTCCATTGTAGCGAATCTGCCAGTCCTTGAATGCAAACCTGGCATCTGTAAACAGCAACGACGAGTACCAGTTCATTCGAGCCGTCATATCTAGTGCCTCTCGTGAAAGTGGACTAACATGGGTTGGTGGCTCAGATGGTCAACAGGTATATCACTTATCATTATTCAGAGGACCCTCCCCCATTAGCAAGCACGTGGTGACAGTGGGGAAGAAAAACAATTTTTAACAGGAAGAAACCTGAGGCAGAACCAGGCTCAGGGATTAGTTCCCACCTGCAGTAGATATGGAGGTCTTTAAGATGGGATCTGATTAGTCAAGACTTTAAAATTCCTTCTTCATATTATTGTATCTACATGCACATTTAGAACTTGGAACTGTAGCTTATTTGTGAACATATTCTTGCCTACGTTTTTCTGTTTTCTAGGAGAATTACTGGTTTTGGATTGATGGAACCTATTTCACATTTACGCAGTGGTGTCACGGAGAACCTAACAACGTTGGGGGAAACGAGCATTGCTTAATGGTGAATTCTTCAGGTAAACCTAAAAGTACAATGTAAGAGCACTATAAATGTTAAAGAAAAAAGGAAACAATACCCAGAATCCCCCAAATTATCTTTATGCGTTTAATGTGACAAACAGTGATGAGTGAAAAAATGTCAGCAGTACATTTTTCTATCATATTAATTATTTACATAGTGTTTTGATGCAATACTAAACACATGTATGTGTCAGGTGCTGTTGTTATACAGAACAACATATTTAGATCAGTGATCATTTCTCCATGTGATTGTGATTTCAGTTCATGCTGATTTTGTGTACTTACAGGAAGCAAGTGTTGGAATGATGGGAGATGTGACAGCCAATACCCATTTATTTGTGTCAGGGCCATCTGCTGATTCCTGGGCTCTCATGAAGGCGTGGCCTACCTGACGACAGAGCAAATCCTCTAATATATCACAATAAGAATCTGGTTCTGATTTGATTTACTTCTTTTCTTTTACTGTAATGCTGCATAAGGAATGAAGCGACAAGTGACATAAGCTGGAGCTGCTCTTTTAACAGGAGCAGACTGCATGTGTACTTGAAAGAATGCTTTTAGCAAAACGTTGTTTCCCAGAATGAATTGTTGTTTCTCATCTTCTTCATCATTAAAATCTTAAGCATTGAATCAAAATGGTCTGTGCATTTAAATGCTTCATGCTTATCAGTGTACTCTTAAATATCACATACATCCACACTGTAAAATCTAACTAGTTCTCTGAGCTTAAAAAACGTATGCAAACGCATTGCCTAGAAAACAAAGAGACACTAACAACGCTTGATGACTAAATTAGGACGACTTAATCATTGTGAGTACAAAGTACTACAGATGACTTCATTTTTTCTGAGTGAGCAATACTAATTATTTATCCACTGAAAAAGATTTGAAATCTAACAAAATAAAAATATATATAAATTTTGTGGTAGCTTACTATTTTAAATTTTGCTTATGTTTTATCATCCTTGAACTTGAGATTTATAGTAGAACACTTAAACACTATAATTATGGCTAAAAAATAACTATCAGCATTTCTTCTAATGCAGTTAAACTCAGTCCAACGGTGATTTTCAAATGCAAGAAAGTATATCAGTAAACATCTTGGACACTGTTCTGCTAAATATCAAACAAGCATATTCCTACTATTGTGTCTTGTGCTGTTTAATAATACTTAAACAATTATTAAATTGGTATTTGTATATTTTTTTGTTACACAATTTAAAACTTTTAAAAACGTATAATAAAGTATTTCTCAACCTCATGCACTAGCTCACGCTGCCTATACACTGCAGAATGCTAAAGAAAAAAAACTTGTATGAACAGCACACAAGAGTGAAAACAGATATAAGATGCCTAGAAAAATCATATAAATGAAACTTGTATGTTTTGGATACTTATGTGAAAGTAATGAGAAAGTGGCCACTTTCATGAGTAAATCATGTAAGCCTGATATGATTCACTATATGAAGCAGGCCACATCTTATGCAGGTCTTTTATAGGTTTTTCCTATTTCTTTTCCATATGGGCAGAAACACAGTCAGCCCAATATTTATGTACTAAAACCAACTATGGTCAGCTTAAGTTATAATTATTTAATTTTTCCACAGAGCCATATCCACCCCTGCTTGTGTCACTCAAGAATGCGAGTTTGATTGATGACCCTAGCCTTGACCTTTTGACCTTACCGGAAGTACTCCGGAAGTGACTAATCGATTCCAGGGCTGTGCCCCAATTAAGAGACCACACGCTTGAAGTACGCGCACTACGCGTACTACGTACGGTGCGTACTATAAGTACGAGAAGTGCGGAAGTGAGAGGCGTGCTGTTCAGGTTGCCTAGCAACCATGATACTAACTGCGAGAAACGTTAACCTCTTCGACATGTCAATGGCTGTGAACAAAGAGAAACTTGTAAATAACTCATGAAAGAATAAAGTTATGTTGAAACCAAGCACACCATTGTTTTTCTTGTGACATTACCAATAAGTTTGATGTGTCACATGACCCTCTTCCTATTGGAAAAACAAAAGTTGTATCCAAGATGGCCGACTTCTAAATGGCCACCATGGTCACCACCCATCTTGAGGAGTTTGCCCCCTCACATATACTAATGTGCCACAAACAGGACTTTAATATCACCAACCATTCCCATGTTATTACAGTGTATCCATATAAATGGCCCACCCTGTATATTGTGTTCAGTACACTTCACTACAGTGGGATTTCGGAAATATATAAATACGGACAACAGGCTCTTCCGCGGCAATCTCTTGTCGTCAATAAGCAACGTTTAGGGAGCTCTATAGTATTCAATGAGAGGACCCTGCACGTCAGTTCTCGACGCGAGGGGGTACCCTGCGCGTCGATAAGTGGAGCAGAGGGAGCCTGACCATGCTTCACACATTTGACGAGTTGGGAGTGAGAACGTGTTGCTCTGGCACAGCTACAAGCCATGTGAGCTCGTAGCCCCTCCCACTAGGATGTACTACCACAGTCGACCGTTGTAAAGCAGCCGCAAATCAATAGCAATACAAAAACCCTCAAAATCATTGAAGAACATTTTATAACCGAACACCCAATACAGATATACTGAATATCACACCATATCAGATCACCAAATTAACACTGGGTTACATTAACATTTTACCACAACTTCACCAGATGTAGCTAAAAAAAACTAGCCATTGAAAGAGGTGAAGAGAGAAAGATGACAGCTTGGTCAGCACTAGTTGCCTCTATAATGTATGCAAATACATGCAGGTTGGAATCTCCGCCCCTTAAGCGCACCCCCAGACAGTGCCAGCAGATTGAAACTGAAAAACAAAAAATGTGATACAAAAAATGTAGTTTCAATTAATTGTTTTTTCACTATCATTTTTTTAAACTTTCAATACAAGAGTACATTTATTTCAGTTACAATATTGTTTTTCAGTTTCATTTTAAGGTGGCATTGTTCTAACCCCATGATTCTGACTGAGAGACACCATACCACTGTGTTCGGCCACGATGTGCTGAGATCAGTGAGCACATACTACACACACAGTTAGTTTTAGTTTGTTTTGCACTTTATTGTTGAGTAACTGAATTTCTCTAAATTGTTTTGATTTATAATTGTCGCATTTGCAATAACTTTCCTTTGTTGGATTGTAAGGTTTAATGTTTTCATATATTATTTGGAAAAGTGTTTTACAATACGTTGCATTAATGCATAGTTTGTATGAGAGAGATGTTATTTTTTGTCATTTATGTCAAATATGACGTCATCAAACTTCTAAGTTGTGAATTACAGCTAGAACAGCATAATTAATATTTGAGTTGCTGACCCCTTCTGTTGACAGGTCAGGTTTATTGTACACTGGATTGCTCCTGAGGTGCGAGCCTTCCCACCTGGACTTTGAAAGACTGAGATTTGCTTCTTTCTTGATGATCTGCTGCACTTTGCGTTGTGGTAGGACTGTATCACTCGCACTTTCACATACAGCTGGTTATAACACCACTGACTGACATTCTCTCACCCCTATTTCCTTTCACACCCTGGGAGTTTTTGGACTTTACCCCTTGGACATGTTTTATTTGGGACTTTAAATGATAAGCTGTTGTGTAGAACATTCTCCACATGTGAAAGGTGTGTGAGATTTTCATCTGAATGAACACTGAATTTGTGTAATCTGCTTTCTTTTTTTTTTTTTTTTTTTTTTTTTTTTGGCCTGTCCCGTTTGGCTCTTTTGCATCAGAATTGTTGTCTAAAGGCGAAGAAAGATGCCCAACGGATTTACTTTACCAAACTGACCATCCCAGCCTTGCCATAATGGTCCATTTGATTCACCTTTTATTGTTCATTTTATTTTCACTTGCTGAATACGGGACAGACTTGACTGGGGGAAAGAAGGGGAGAAAGAAAGAGGGAAAGAGAAACAGCTGAGAAGAGGGACGGGGGAGAAGGGCAAAAGACAAAAACCAACAGAATGGGCAGAAAAAAAAATGCATATATCAATCACCTGGATCACCTGTTGAGAAAGAAAA